TTTTCCAAACCTAAAAAAAAAAGAACAAACTTCTCTGGGGTTTTTTTTTTTTTTTTTTTTTTTATCCCATTTGTGAACAAAACTCCTCTAAAAACAGACGAGAGAATAAAAAAAAAAAAAAAAAAAAAACACCCAGATGAAGTTAGTTCATGTTTTTTAGAGTCTGGAAAATGAGCCGTTTCAAAAATCTCCCAATTTTTAAGTCACATTCCATGGGTACTGCACGGTTACCTAGCAACCCCAGCAGAGCTCCACCTGTTACCTAGCAACCCAAATGGAGCTCCAGCACTTTGGTCAGCTGGTTTTACCGATGCATCCACTGTACAATGGCTGCTGGAAAGAACAAGTATTTTGTTGTTGACTTACCATCCAGAACTCACTTGGTGCATTCTTGTTGTTGTGCAGGAGGCTCTACTTCTGCTTTTCAAAGCCATGCAGTTGTATAATTGTTCATCTGTTTGCAGCTGTTTTCACATGCGAGTGTAAACATAGAGTTGGGGGGCGTGACCTGTAGCAGGTTAATTGGATTTAAAGTGACAAGAGGCCCTAAAACATGTAATTCAGAATAAAATCTCATTATTTTATGCTAAAATGTAATGAACATGTTTTGTATAGACCATAGACTATTCTAACCTGCTTAATATTTTTGAGACCACATACATTGAACCTTAATATAATAGTGATGTGCAAATATTATCATGTCGGTCAAATCAATTAAATTTTTATTTTTCTTTCAGTTCACACTGGTCTAAATTATACCAGTGTGAAAAAATGTTAAATATGGTTTTTGACAAGTAATATTTGAACACATGGTATAACGATAGAACAACAGTATAACACTTTAACAGATAAATGGGTAGATTCGTCTACAGATTCAGAACCGAACCTCCTGACTCTGATTGGTTGTTTCTAGTTAGAACTGGGAGAAGACAGAGGAGCTTGATTTTTTTTCACAGAATTTTTTCACAAAATCTTACAAAGTATTTTTGATCTAGTTTGTACTGCAAATATCTTAATATACTTGAAACAAGACAAAACTAATTTACAAGTAACTTTTCAGAAAGCTATAACATTTGCTTTCTGAGTTGCTTGATATTAATATTAATATTAATGAAAAAGCTTTTGTTCTACTTTCAGATTATTCCACTTATGGGAAAAAATTCTTGTGGCAATCTGCCAGTGGCATAAGCTCCTTTATCGCCCTCAAACGTTACTTCTAAGTTAGTGTTGTCTTATTTCAAGTGGGATAAAATGTTTGCACTTGAAACTAGACCAAAAATACTTGGTAAGATTTTGTGTTTTTTGCAGTGCACAAGTTGAAACTGTCAACAGATTCAACAAATGTGTAAATAATGTGCATAAAAGTTACGTACTGCATCTTTAACACTCATTCTGAATTATTTAGGAGGAAGAAAATTAAGAATTAAACATTAACCAATAGGAAGAAGAATCACACCTCCCACGTTATTTCAACCTTTGATCTACAATCTTCCCTTTTGTAAACAACAGCTGTGCAGTGACTGCTGTCCACTGCAGCTGCTCAGGTCAAAACTAAATTGAAAGTTAGTTAATGTAAACTCTTAGACGCCTTCCTGTTTCTGTCTCTGAAGCAGGCCCACTGCAGCTCCTTCCTTTCTTTACTGTCGCCTATCAGCTGCGACTTCGCACTTTGCCAAATATAAACCCAGTTTCTTGGCCGAGCGACAGGCTGACCTGGGGAGGAGTCCGGCACGGTCGGTTCAGCTCAGGACAAACTGAAGGACAAACAAGCAGAAAGGAGCGTTTGTAGTGAAACCTCGAGAGAACAAACCGCCTGAAACGGTGAGTTTAAGCAGGATTGTAACTTTTCGATCTTAATTGGCTCAACTGTTGTCTAGATTTTTTACAAAGGGACCAGATACACTGTAAAAACGCAAAATCTTACCGAGTATTTTCTTCTAGTTTCTGGTGCAAATATCTCATCAATCTTGGAATAAGACAAAACTAACTTGCAAGTAACTTTTCAGCAAGATAAAGGAGCTTTAGGTACATAATTCCTTAATATTAATCTAGAAATGTGCTAGATTCACTGGCAGATTATTTCCTTTAAAGTACAAAAGTTCCCCATTTTTTCAGTGAAGTAATGATAATATTTAATCAATATTTAAGAATTACTGACTTAAAATAAGCTCCTACATCTTGATTAAAAGTTACCTGAAGGTCAGTTTTGTCTTATTTTAAGTGTATTAAGATATTTGCACTAGAAACTGGACAAAAATACCTGGTAGGATTTTGTGTTTTTGCAGTGAAAGTACTAGTCCAACTAGTAGATTATTTTACTTATAACAGCACATTTTCCCCACGTTATAAGTGAAAAATCTGCTGGTGGAACCAGCACTTTTTAATATTAAGGAATTAGTTGCTTATAAAAAGCTGCTATATCTTGCTGAAAAATTACTTGTAAGTTAGTTTTGTCTTATTTCAAGCACACCAAAAATATTTGCACAACTAGAAAGAGCTCTTCATAATATTTTGTGTTTTGGTTGTGTACCAAAGCTGAAATGTTTAAATCAGTTAAAGTGTTTGTTATGTTTGAGTTAACTGTTGATTTCTGCCTC